AAAAAAAAAAATTTTGGCTACAAATTTATTTTGGGGATTTCTACTTACTAAAAACTAACTTCTGGTGAGGGGTTTGGATAGAAGTTTAGGCTCAAGGCCTTCACTTTCTTCTAAATTCTATCTCCTGGGACCTATCTTTTACATACAATCTGTTTTTTTTTTTTTTTTGTAAAGGTCATTCCCTTTTCTTGTATTTTTTTTTATCCATAGAAATTTTTATCTTCCGGAAAAAGAAATTTAATCATATTAGGTTACAATTCAAATAACCAACCTACAACTCAATGGGGCGGATTAGTATGAACCAAAAATCAAGGCAAGTCCAACTTGTTTGGATTGATCCCATGTTTTTTTTTTTATTATCGATTCTAAATTTTTAGACCTAATTAAATTATAATTTTGCTAGTGACGTATAGTTTCCTTCTATTTATATGTAAAACACAAATATTTGTCTTTTAAGGGAAATGCATGAAAATTTTTCCCTCTTGTCAACCCTCTTTTGTCAGCACAAACTCTGAGAAATAAGTCTTCATTGCGTGTGAATATTTGGGAGAAATAAGTCTTCCTTGCGTGTTAGTTATGCATAAAAGATTGTGTAATCCGCCAGCGATGCATTTAAAGAGAAGGATAGGATGAAATATCCATTTTTGTAGCAAACAGTACAAATTTATACTACTTTAAAATATCAACAGAGGTAAAAAAGTTTTAGTTGACCATAAAGATTAAAGACAAATTCTATTATTATGTATTTAATTATTCAATACCAATTAAATATCCTAATGATCCTTCATATATGTCTCTTTCCACACAAACTATATATATATATATATATATATATATATATATATATATATATATATAATCCATAAAAGTAAGATGATATATTTATATATGAGGTTTTTTTAACCTTGTTGGACCATTTGCAGTTTTGACTCAATTTTTTATTAAATTTAAATGAACATTTGAATAAAAATATTAATTTGATACAAAACGCTTCAATAAAGAAATTTAAATTTAAAAGATGACAAACCCAAATTTAAAGAAGAGTGAAATACTACCATTAAATTTTTTAAAGAGTGTGAACGCTGACCATTGAAGATTTGAGTCTTCGATGCATGGAAGAAGATAATGAATCAATGGTATAATAAATGAAAAGAATAATGAAAATAAACCGTTGGTTTGCGCACAAATACATATTTACATTCCAATTCTAGGAGTTTGTTGATTAACAAAAAAATCAGCCCTAATGACTTCAATAACTCTGTTGATTTCTAAGAATAGCAGAAGAATTGAGAATAAAAAAGAAACTCTCTTATTATATTGAATAATCCAAAACTTCTTAGTCCTAAGGCTTACAAGAGTATAAATAATACTTAAATACTAAAATTAATTAAAAAATAACAAAACATGACCTAATTAGATCATGTATGTCACATGTGTTATGTCAACTAAATGAAAATTTTGACGTTATTGACTAACTGGGACTCATTGCTTTTTTTCAAAGTACTCTCAATGTACAATGCAAGACTTTTCATTATTGCATTTTTTTTTTTAAAGATACAAAACATCATTCCAAAATATTTCTCAGCTGCTTTAACTTTTNGTAATGCTGCACTGATTAAATTTAAAGTTCAAATGACATGACAGTTGATTATTTGAAGTGTTTTTTGGGGCCCAAATAACATGACACTAATCAAAGAAGTTCAAGTCAACTACCATATCATTTGAGCTCTAATTGTGATCCCAAAAATTTGATTATTGGTGATGACATAGAGCTATTACTCAGAAATTTGATTACATTTAAGGAATTTATAGAACAACTCAATTCCACCGTCAACACGGACGGAACTAAAAAATCATACCATTCTTGAGTGATTACTTTAAATAAATAAATAAATATATATATATATATATATATATATATATATATATATATANTATGGAACATACTTGTCTTACAAAAGTTATTTTTATAACTTTTGTAAATGAAAGCTCTAGGAGAACTTGACATAGAATACGTGAATCATAAGAAATGCATCTAACCTATTACAAAAGGATGACAGTGCCTCATTACCATGTCATAAATTTTTTTGCAACCCAGCAAAATCTATCAGTATACATTAATTGATATGCCAAAAAAATAGGGTGGACATAATTAAAAATATTGAAGAAATACTTAAAATACATATTTGCTATATTATAACGGTGGGTCTAATATTTTTATCTTTGACTTTGGGTAGACACAAGTAATATATTATACAAATATATGATATACATACCTAAGTAATAAAAAAAAAATTTGAGGGGGTACACTTGCCCACCCTGGACCATAGCTGCCTCCACCCTTGCTCCCATTTAATTCTATATCCAACAAAGATTTGAAATTATTTTCAATTATGTACACACATAATAATAGCAATGATTATGTAGTTAATGATTGTCATTGTGCAGTGTTTTATGCTGAAATTTACTCCTATCTAATCATATCCAAGAAAAATACTGAAATTATTGGCAGTGGTGTTATGCATGTACACATAATAAAAACAATGACTGTAGTTTGGTCCTAACAACAATTCAAATGTTCTCATGAACATATTTAAGTCGTAACTCTTGCATGTTGTGATTAATATATTGTAGGACTATTTCCTATCATTTGTTTATTTATAGCTCATTTTTTCAAATTATGAAGTCAATAAAAAGAACCGAGCATTGAATGTCAATGGCCTCCTTTAAAGTAGTGAATAATGAATGTTTTTCATACTTAATTTGTTGACTCAATCCACCACAACTGCTAAATTGTGATGTAGAACAGATTGCTGCTTAAGTTTAGGGCTTTTGATTTATGCCTTTAATTAGAATTTGTTTATTTTTGGAATTTTTAGTATTTTTCCTTATTTTAGTTATTTCTTTCCTAAAGTTATAGTTCTAGTCGAATTAGGTTTTGCAGCCTATATAAAGACTATTTCTTTTCATTCTAAGGTTACCTTTGATTCAATAAAGAATTTTCTTTCCGAGATTCCATTCTTTGAGCTCATGGATTCGAGTGTATCATTTTTTTTTTCTTTGTTCGTGGATTCGAACAATTTTTCCAAGAAGCAGGCGGTGTCCTACTTCTTCATAAGCTACCCCTACGTCATTTGGTATTAAAACTGGCTTAAACCTGTTCATATGGCGAATGCTTGCAATGAAAGTGAAGTCCTTGACGGCAGTGACCGTGAGGAAGATATGGTTATAGGGGCTGAATTCAAAACTTTCCAATGTGAGACCCAGCAAGAATTGCGGGAGGTCCAAGAGACTCTTGCTAGGCTGACGACAGGGAGTAATCAACGGGGCGACAATCCTATGGGTCGTCAACCTTACTCAAAGTGGGCTGAAGTTTTTCGTGAATGCCATCCAGAGAATCCACGTAGGCAACTAGCCTATGAGAATAACTCGAGTGAGGATGAGAAAGATGCTGAAGCCATACTCCAGAATACTCGAAGGGGTTACCAAGGGGAACAAGATCGACAAACCTTTCGTATGAAGATGGACCTGCCCAGTTTTAATTGACAACTTCAGATCGAGGGATTTCTTGACTGGTTGATATTGGTTGAGAGGTTTTTCGATTATATGGATATTCCTGAAGATAAAAAGGTGAAATTAGTCGCGTACAGACTATTTAGGGGAGCTTCCGCTTGGTGGGAGCAATTGCAAAATCAATTTTAAATCTCAATTAGTGGTTAGGATTAGAACTCCTCCAATTTCTTTCATTTATACAACTAACTATATTCAAATTCAATTTAAAATCTCGTTTAATAAAAGAGCCAAATCTAATCAATGACTTCTACACCCATCTAAATCCATGAAAACAAATGTATCCTTACATATACGAGCCAAGTTCAAAGAGTCTACTACTCTACTTGGTCTTTGTTTATGCCCTGAATGTACCATGTGCAGATGTAGATCTCCTCAATACTTTTTTTCTTTTATTTTCTTTCTTGGTGGTGGTGGTGATGGAATACCATATGGTATTTGTGATTTCCACCGTATGGAGCGAGCTTAAGGTGGTGGTGCAACGTAAGGAACAGAGGAGGGGTTGGAAGGGGATCTACAATCGTAATTGGTGAGCAATTGAAAATGGCGGTATAAAAACTCGAATTTTCTTTGCCTCCATGTTTTTGTTTCCATTCAAGAATTTTATATTATAAAACTCGAAGAGATATAGTTAAATTAAGACAAGTTGAGGACATTAACAATCTCTCTCTTTAACTCAAACTGAAATGTTGCATGTTGAATAACGAAAAAGAAGAAATCAACTGCCTATAAATATGTATTCTTTCTACCTCCTTTCTATCAAGAGTTGCTTCTACTTCTTCTTTCTTATCTCATCTTCACATAATATCTCCGTCGCAAGGACTGAAAAGTATATCAAGTATAAGTTCTTCAATACTCAATCCTCTGAATTTTCTACATATACAAGTATCCCTACTGTTTTTTTTTCCCTCTATTTGCTACTTGTTTCATACATAGCTCTGCAGATCAATTTGTCGTAATATAAGTTTTCTGCTCACAACATGCTGGCCTTGATGGGCCTTTAATGGGCCACCATCTTTAAGCATTTGGTGGCAATTGTCCTCTTAATCTTTATCACATTGTCTCGTGAACTTTATCAATCATTTTCACACTCCAAATTCAAATAGTTGCTGATATCGAAAATGGTCACGTATCTCACATGATGCGTCCACAAAGATATTCTTGATTTTGGACAATTATTGTCCTTTGTCTCACTTTTATTAAAGAAAATTCTTTGAACCATATAGATTGCGTGAATTGAGTAGCAAAGAATTCTAAATTACTATAAAATCAAGTGTAGAAAGAAGGGAAAATCAAGTCTAAAGAAAAGATATAGCAGACGAGCATGTGAGTGAAAATTCAAACAATTAAGTTTCAAACCTTTGTTTGTCTTTTATTATCTTCTTTTTGTTTCGCAGTTTTCACATGCCAGATAATTAGTACCCAAATCACTCTCATAATCAACCAACAGGGTCTATACAATTGNGCAATTGGCCAAGCCGATGTTCTCAAATAGAAGGTTAGGGGTCGATTCTTATCAAACACAAAGATTGATCTATTCTATCCCTCTCTGGATGTTTTACTCTACTCTCTATCAGGACCTTTGTCTTGTCTCTCTTTGGATTAGCCTTTAATACTGATATACAATTGTGTTTTAAAAAAATACTATTATAATCATCCTCTTCATTAACGAGATGACATGAATTGGCTCGGCTTATTTGCATTCATTTTCAGTANATTTTAAAAAAAATACTATTATAATCATTCTCTTCATTAATGAGATGACGTGAATTGGCTCGGCTTATTTGCATTCATTTTCAGTATGTTAATTCTATGCCTTGAAAGTTCATGAGATAAAAAATTGCAATCCTCTTGTGGATTATTTGATAGAATTGTCAAAACCACATATATGTTTTTAGTATTAAGTTGAAAATTTTAAACATGAAAATGATCAAGTTTTTAAAAAAGACCATTTGTACATCAATATTAGACCTTTATCACCTTGGTTGGGTTAACATGACAAGGCATAATGAAGTCACTATTAGAAAAAGATTTCGATCCCATCCAATATGATTTATCTCAAGTGTAGGCTGCTCTTCAAAAATTCAAGTAGGCCTGATTATATGTAATTGAGCTTTTCACTAATGCACATTGAGTGCTCTACTTTTGAAAAAATATTAACTGAAATCCGTGTTAAACATTTTTTCAACCATGAATCTAAAATGTATGGCTTTGCTATAAAAAATTTCCTCGCTTGCCTTTCCTTCCTTCATATAATGAAGAAGAATTTGACATGATTTTACCTCTTTT